GCACAGAGGGGCAGGTGAGAGGACGCAGGGTAGCAGAGCCATACGGGCCCTGTCGGGATCCTGGGAGCCGGTGCACGAGGGAGCCCTGAGTTCCCAGACCTGGAGCTCAGGGCCCTGGTGGGGGTGGGGAGTGGCCGAGGGGACAGGCCCAGCCAGAGAGCGGCCATCGGGGGCAGTGAGGCCCTTTCCACCTGCGCCTCAAGCTGGGCCGAGGGTCCGCGCCTGGTTCAGCTGAGGCCACCGCGCTTGCTGGCCTCAGGTACAAAGCGTTCTGCCCGGCGTCCCCCTGGCTTCCGGGACTCCAGCTCAGCAGAGAATCAAATGCAGGCGGGGCGCACCCGCCGCAGCCAGCACAAACACTGGCTCTCAGCTTCCAGCCTCTTTTTCCAGCCTGCCCTACATTCCCGCCCGCCCAGCCCAGCAGCTGCTGCGGGGCCCGCCCAGCGGACCCTCCAAGGCCTGCTAGGGGGAGGCCTAAGGCCCCCATCCTAGGCTGGGGTCCCCTACACCTCCACACCCCCATTGGACAGCCCTTTGGACAGCCCTGCTCAGCCACCCTGTCAGGCTGCCCCACAGAGCAGGTGGACAGGGGCCTCGGGGCCTCGGGGCTGCCGCTGGCCGGCGCCGTCACCTCTGCCCCATCCACTAAGATGAAAGGGAGGGACGGGCAGGGGACCTGGCTCCTCGGTAGAAATGGTGGCGGGGGGGGGGGCTACTGGACCTGCAGGCCTCAAAGAAGGGGTGCTGGGCCCCACAGGGAGAGCTGAGCCTGGAAGTAGAGGTGTAGGAGACGTGGCTAGTGAGGGAGGGCAGGGCTGCGCTGTGGCCATGACCCAGTAGACTCTGTGTCCCTCTACAGTGCTCCGTCTAGCATGGGGCCAGGGCAGGGCAGCGGGGGGCGGGGGAACCCTGGGACTCCATGCCTCTGCTGGGGGACAGGGACTAATGAGATGTGGGACTGCTCCAGTGGGCACCCCTCTGCTGAGCCAGCAGGCACCGCCGAGCCTGGGCAGAGCCTTGGGGGGCACTGACCAGGCCCAGCCACTGGGCAGCCTGGGCCAAGCCCCCAGCCCAAGACGCAGCTGGTCATAATGAGCTCACCAAGTCTCATGGACCTTCCTGCCCGGGCTGGCTTTGGGCTGTGGTCCTCAGATCTCAGCCTTCTGAGTAGCTGGGTGGGCTGTGGTCCTCAGATCTCAGCGTCTGAGTAGCTGGGTGGGCTGTGGTCCTCAGATCTCAGCCTCCTGAGTAGCTGGGTGGGCTGTGGTCCTCAGATCTCAGCCTCCTGAGTAGCCGGGTGGGCTGTGGTCCTCAGATCTCAGCGTCTGAGTAGCTGGGTGGGCTGTGGTCCTCAGATCTCAGCCTCCTGAGTCGCCGGGTGGGCTGTGGTCCTCAGATCTCAGCCTTCTGAGTCGCCGGGATGACGGGCGTGACACCAGCTGTTCTCATATATATTGGCAATGTATTACAAAATTATTCCCCTTCTTTTCCCCCTTCCCCTTCTCCTAAGTAGTTCTGTGGTCTTATGTTCTGTGTTTACCATGTATACATGTACATATGTGGGTAAGTATACATATGTGCATGTCCGTTGGGAGAGTGTGTCATTTCGGTCTTCCTTCCACATATGAGTGAAAACACCCAATATTTTGATTTTGAGCTTGCCTTGTCTCACTCAGTACAACATCTTCCAGTTACAGGGATGATTTCCTTTTTCTTCATAGCTGTGTAATCTTCCATAGTATGCACATACCACGTGTTCTTTATCCATGCATGTTGATGGGCACCTAGGCTGATTCCATTTGTCAGGCGATGTGCCCGAGGTGCACAACACTAAAACGGTGAAGCTTCCAGCACCGTCCTCTTGCTACCTATGAGGAAACAGAGGTGCAGAGAGGAGAAAGGAAGTGCCAAGGTTATGCAGACGGGAAGTGAAGAGGCTTTGACCTGAGCCCCAGCGCGTGTGTCTCGGTGGCCCCTTCGGCCTGCACGCTCCTGGGCCCCGTGTGCTGCTGCAGTGGCAGGAGGGCGGCCGCCCCTGGGGGCTGGCACCACAGCCTAGCAACGACCCCTGACTCTTCCCCAAGAGCCTTAACACCGTCATGAACGCAAGGTGTCGCGGCCTCACCAACGCCCTGACCTGCGTGCCCTGCACCCGCACCGCACGCCCAGTCAGCCCCACCAGGAGCCAGGGTGGTTTACGGGCGCTAGCTCCACAGTGGGGCTGGGTACCCCGGCCTGCACACACACTGTACTCATTCAACAACAGCTGGTCCTCCCCTGGGCTGGTGCTGAGGCTCCTCCCCTGGGCTGGTGCTGAGGCTCCTCCCCTGGGCTGGTGCTGAGGGTGCCCGAGCCAGCTGGGGGCTGCGTGGGGGAGGTGGGAGGTGAGGGAGGACGGCGTGAGAACACCAGGTTCCAAGACAGAGCGGAGCCTAGGCAGAGGGAGCAGGACAGCCCTGACCAGCAGAGGCTAGAACACATGGACACATGAGCATCGGCAGAGGCCTGGGAAGGATGAGGGAGAAGAGGCCATGTGAAAAATGGGGGCTGGGGACCACAGCCACAAAGGGGCTTGGGCACGTCCTGGGCCGGCAGGGCAGTGGGGGGCCCGGGTTGTGCTCTGGAAGGATCTCCACGTGGAAAGCTGTTGGGATCAGAAGCCAGCAAAGCAATGGGTTACTCCTACACCGGGCCAAGCAAGAGACAAGGGCCGCAGAGCACGGTGGCTCCCGCCTGTCATCCTGGCTCCTCACCAGGCTGAGATCTGAGGATCATGGCTCAAACCAGCCTGGGTAGGAAAGTCCATGAGGTTCTTATCTCCCATGAACCAGCAAAAATCTGCAAGTAGAGGTGCGGCTCAAGCGATAGAGCACCAGCCTTCATTGAAAATAGCTAAGGCATGATGCCCAGGCCCTAAGCGTAAGCCCCAGAACCAGCAAAAAAAAAAAAAAGAAAGAAAAGAAGTCCAGGCTGGATGAGGCGCCTGCAGACGAGCCGAGTCGGGTGGAGGCTGGGCAGGTTCTTCAAAAATTTCTCTTGAAAGACTCTTTTTCAAGAATTTTTCTTTTGAAAACAAATTCATAACCACATCAAACGGGACTCTCTGCCTCCTTGGGCACGGTGGCCGACGGCCGCGGGCTTTCTAACTAGCTGTTATTCTAATTGCTTTTTTCTCTTCCGAGGCCGCCGAAGTCCTCTCTGGTTATTAATTTGGTGTGTCGAGGCAGGGCACAAAAGGGGCTTTTGTGTGTCAGGCCTTTCAGTCACTATCAGATTGCAAATGGCCGCAAGATCCAAGGTCCCCAACACGAATCTGCCCCGTGGCCTTGGGGAGACCAGCCCGTGCTCAGAACAGGTTCTCTCTTCTCTGGAGGGCGCGATGCTCCCCGGGCACCTGCACACTGAGCCGAGGCTCCTCACGGTCAAGGTGGTCAGGGCCACGGCTGCCTACAGCCCAAGCCGGGGGAGAAAGGTGGGGCCGAGACCTCAGGACCACTGCGGGTGTGGTGTCTTGGGATCCGAACTCTGGGGCCAAGGGGACTGCCTGGGCCTGGGCCCTCCCTCCCAGGGGCCAGCAGGACTGGGGGGGGGGGCGTCCAGGGACTGCTGGGACATGTGTTCTGTGCCCTGCCCAGGAGAGACCCTTCCTCAGCTACCATGGTAGTCCAGCCCTCCTTGTAGTACCTTAGAAGAGGCTGGTGGCCACAGCGCAGTCCCGTGAAGCCCCGGAAGCCCGGCACACCGGCAGCTTCCCCTCCATCCAACACTCTTGACCTGCCGGCCTCCAACAGGCCTGCACCCCGCCCAGATTCCCATCGCCATCAGCAGCCCGGGGCGCAGCGCTCACAGAGACGTGCGCAGGTCCAGGTGGGAAGGCGCCCGGCGGCGGCCCCCCAGGCCAGCGGTCAGCAGGGCTTAGTCACCCGGCCACGCATTCCGGCAGTCCGCCATGGGCCTCACCTGACTCTCAGCTGCCGTCGGTCGGGCTGCTCTCCCGCCCCGCCCCCGTTTCAGGTCTTTTCAGTGCTCTGGGGGCCTCAGAGCAGCACCCGCCCAGCGGCCAGGACAAAGCCTGTGCCAGCCCAGAGGGCACCAGCCGGGCACTGCTCCGCCCGGAGCTCCTCGTGCCGGCCCTTCCCCCAGCCCTCAGGGCGGGCTCGGCGGGGAAGGCTCCGGCCTTGCCAGGCAGGGCCTTTGCTGCTTCCACCTTCCCATCGGCCAGCTCGCCACTTCCGGCCATGAGAACAGGGCTCCAGGGCGGGTGAGCCCACGCCTCCCTTCCAGGGGCGCTCTGACCACCTCAGGCTTCAGGCTCCCGTGGAGGCCCTCTGAGGAGAGGCAGACCTTGGGCTCCTCATGGATGGAGCATCTACTCTGGGCCTCGTTTATCCCCAGCCCTGCCCTGCCTCTACCTCCCCTCTGGCCCTTGACAGGCGTGTGGTAGAGGCCCTGTGGCCAGGAACTCTGCCTGGCACGGACCTGACCCCTGGGGCTCTGGGAAGATGGGGGTGTCACTAAGTTAGGGAAGGGGCGCCTGAGGGATGACAGGAAGAGAGGCGCAGCCTTGGGAAAGGGCAGCGCCGGGGGGTCTGGTCACCCAACGGGGCCGGGGTCTCCGCCTCCTGCCAGGCACCTGATGGACAGCGGCCTCCACGCACCGTCCACACCCAGCCCCGCGGAGCCCCGCACCCACCGCCTCCGCTGTCCCAGGGCGGCGCTCTGCAGCCTGAGCGAGCCTGGCTCCTATGATCCTTGACCCCCGGCCTCCCCCAGGAAGCCAAAGGCCACAGCAAAGCCAGGACTTAGGGGGTGCTGACGGACTCCAGGGTCTAGCCAGAACTTTGGAGGCTAGTAGGCATCACCCAGACGCCCACAGGGACCCCAGGCCACACAGATAGACAGGGCAGCGTGGGCATACCCCTCTCCGGGCCTCACTGGCCTGGGCCCTGAGGTGGTCTCCAGACTGTCACCTGCGCTACACACACTCTTCCTGTCCCCAGGTGACACAGCTGGACCAGAGGCTGGTGCTCATCACAGACATGCTCCACCGACTGCTCTCCTCGCACCAAGCCCCCCCGGCCCGCAGCAGCCCGGCCCACGGCGAGGACGGCTCCATCCGCCCTGAGCTCTTCCTGCCCAGCAACGCCCTGCCCACCTATGAACAGCTGACCGTGCCCCCCAGAAGCCCCGACCCCAGCTCCTGAGGAGGCAGGGCTCTGGGAGGGGAGCCCCTCTCCACGGGGCCGGCACCTGGCGCCTCAGCCCCGGGGGGTCACACTGGTGCCCAGCTGAGCCCCGCGGGGGCCCCCTTAGGCCCATTCTCGACCTGGGCTGGGTGTGCGCCGCCGCTCGGGTGACGCATCCCAAACGGTGGCAGGGGCAATGGTCAGCTGGCCTGGCCAGGTGACCCTGAGGGAAGACACTGACTTCCTGAGGAGAGACCACGGAAAGGCCCAGAAGGGGCCATGGGGCTTATCCTAGCCTCCAGTCTAAGTTGGACAGAGAATGGGCAGCGCAGAGCGGGGCGGAGCCAGCCCCGGGCCCTGTCGGGAGGGTCTGCCTCCCTCCTTCCCACAGATGAGGACGCCAGGGCAGGGGGCTGCGGGCACCCAGCTTCCGGGGCGCCCCCCGGACAGGATGCCTGTCCCACCCCTCTGCCCCACTCAGGACAGGCATGTCCTCCTTGCCACAGAGAGCGGAGTCCTCCGTCTCTCCCCCTCTCTCCAGCCCCTCCCCCCAATAGCCTGCCATTCCCCAGCCATGGGACAGATGGACAGAGGCCCCGGCAGGAGCTGCACTGCGAGGCGCGGGGTGGAGGTGGGCTGGAGGCTGCCACGGGCCCCCTGGACGGGCCCCTCCCTGCGGGCCTCGCGTCTCCTGGGAATCAGGATAATCTGTGGTGATGGGGAATCTGTGTTTTAATGAGGTTCACGGTGTGGTTGTGATTAATCATTCTGCAGGGTTTTCCTAATAAACATGGAGTTCCACAATTGGTCTTGGTGCCGACATAGAGCCCAGTTCTCAAGGACAACCTGGTGCCCGGCTTTGTCCCCCTCCCCCACCGGGGAGACCCACACAGAGCAGGCCTCCACCTCCCCTTCCATGACACGGTGCTCACCCCGCCTGTCCAGGTGGTGTCTGCTGGCACCGTCCTGCCCTGGCCTGTGCCCACCTGCCTGTTTATGGGTGCTGTGCCCAGCTCAGAGGAGAGAAATCGGGCAGCGCTAAGCTCGCTCACCTTGGTTCCTCTGTGAGCCCCTCTTGTCTCGCCAAAGGACCCCTGAATCCCTGGCCATGGGGCTGGAGGCATCTGAGATTTCACGCATGGAGCGGGCTGGGGTCCCGAGGCAGTGGGTGGCCAGGGGTAGAGAGAGGGGACACAGGTGTGAGGAGGTTGCTGAGGCCGCTGGGGGAGGAGAGGATCCCGGTCTCCCTTGTGCTCCCTGCCCCCACCTCCCCTGGTGTTCTCCCGAGTCCGGCGCTGGCTCCCACCGTGGGGTCTTGGTGCCCGGCCTGGATCTTGGTGCTGACTGGACCTGGCCAGTCCTGAGGGAAAGCACAGGGGGCTGCTCAGCCTCGGGCTCCCCACCCGCGTGGCTGCACCCTGGTGGGGGTGGGGGCAGCGCCGATCAGGGGGGTGGGGGCAGCGGTGATCAGGAAGGCGGGCGCTGTTGTGTCCTTGTTGGGTAAATATTTGTGCAAGCCCAGGACGGGGCTGGCTGGAAGGCAGTGCCCGGGCCGGGCGCTGCAGCGGGGCCTCCAAGTGGGCCGCTGCGCTGCGCAGGAGCCGCTGAGCACGGCGCCCAGCGCTCCCCTCCCCCCTGGAAGGGCCATTGCGGCCTTCTCGGGTGTGAAATGCAATTTACCTGAAATAAAGCCCAATTATAGAATTAGCTAATTAAAGCCGCAGTCGAGGCTGGGCCTGGCCAGGCCAGTGCTCGGTGCCTGCCCGGTGCCCGCTGCCGAAGCGAACAGATGGTGCCCCAGCCCCGCCGAGCTGGCCACATTCCTTCACTCTGTCCCCCCGGTAAGTGACCTAGACAGCACACGACCATCTGGTGTGTGACACGTCCTGCGGGCTCCGGACAATGGCCAGGCCGACCTCTCTGTGAGAGGACCGTCGTCCGGGCAACGGCGGTGTGCAGCCTCGGCCCATTCTCCGGCCCCCGCCCTCAGCCCTTTCTTCAGCCCTCCTCGAGCCCTGCTTCGGCTGCCTGGCCGCCTGGCTGACAATATCCGTGGCTATTTGTCCCCCGAGCCGGGCCTTTGTCTCCAAATTGGGCTCCCTGATTGAAGTCTGAGTGGCCCATGGGTGCCAGAAGCATCTGCCAGGGGCTGGGTAGGGCTCCGAGCCGTAGATGCACCCTCCCCCGCCCCCCTCCCGCCCCTGCCTGGGGCTCTGGCCTCACCCCTGGGGAAGTCAGACCTGGTCTGGCCTGGGCTGATTGATCCTAAAGTTCTCCTGTCTTCTGGCCAGGCGGAGGAGACGAGGCACCTGCCAGCTGTGCTGCCCAGGCCCCCGAGATGGTGCAAGTCCCTCAGAGGAGCCCGGCTGGGTGGGGGGTGGTGAGAGGTGTGCCAGCCTGGCACACATGCGCAGGTACCAAACAAAGCCAAAGCACCTAGTTGGGCTCTCAGCCCTGTCTCCCCGCTGCTCACGCAGCCCCAACCCCTCCCGATCCAGCCTCGCCCCTCCCTTGGAGCTGGTGGTGGCTCCCCGGCCCTGCCCCTCCTCGCTCTGGACTCCTTGCCCTGTCTTTTGGCGCGCAGGGGAGGGGCAGGGGGTCAGGGGTGGGAGCCCCTGGCATCGGCCTGGCCCTGCTGGGTGTCAGCAAGTCCAGATAAATAAGCGAGGGATAAGCGAAGACTGGGGGGAGCGGCCAGTGCTGCTGGGGCCCCAGAGATGCCCAGGCCCAGACGGGCACCACTCGGTAGTGCCAAGGGGATGGATGCCCCAGGAGAGGAGCTTCGCCTACACCCTGAGGAAGGAGGCCCACCCAGACTCTGCACCCGACGTGGCCACTGGGCCGGGCGGGGCGGAGGTACAGGCACCTGCGGGGAGGGCACGCCCACCCCTCTCGCAGAGGCCGGCCTCGCACCCTGATGCCTGGCAGCTTCTGAGACCTCCTCCCAGCTTGGCCAAAGCCCAGCGCCCCAAAGACGCCAGCCCACAGTCCCCCAGGACCGGAGGCCCCAGAGACCCTGGGACATGCCCCCATCTGGCCCTATTTGAGAGGACATCCTCACATCACAGCCCTCAGCCACCACAAGACCCCCCCCAGGTCAGCTGGGGGGCCCAGCAGGAGAGCTGGGGTGTGCTTAGGATAGTCCAAGCCAAGGAAACCGCTGCTGTCCACCGCTGCTGTCCACCGCTGCTGGCCCACACGCCTCTGGGCCCACGCCCACCAGGCTGGCCCAATGCAGCACCGGCAGGCATGCCAAACAGACCCGCGTGGGCCGCCGGGGTCCTGGCCAGCCAGGGCCTATGGGTGGGTGGGGTGGGGGCTCTATTGGCCAGAGAGAGGGGGTGAAATGGCCGGTTGAAGTTAGGGGCTACCCCCTCTACCCCAAGGCCTGTGAGGCCCAGGCACACCCTCTCTGCCAGCCCCCAGGTGCTGGGTGAGTGTGGCGAGGGGTCCCCTCTGCGCAGGCTCCGTGCCCCGGCCCTGCTCCCAGCAACCCATGACCACGGCAGCTCAGGGACGCGACGACGCAGGAGGTGGGAGCTGCCTGGCCCGGCCCAGCCCTGAACTGGGCACCTCTCCCCCATGCCTCCATACCCCACCTCTAGTCTCAGCCCCACCAGACCTTAGGGGGACAGGTCTGCCCTGACTCCCGGAGCCCAGTCCACCCCTGGTGCCCAGGGATCGGGGCGGCACAGGTGATGGGGACCACAATGAGCCCCTCCAGGGCCCCAGCAGTCTGGCCTCCCAGCCGGCCCTGCCAGCGCCCTCGCCTGGGGGGGTGGGGAGAATGGGGGAGGGGACAGTCATACCCAGAGCTCACTGTACCCGGAAGTGGCCAGCAGCAGCAAAACAACAATCAAAGGAAGCTGCGTGTCGGCTGTCATCTACAATCTTAGCTGCTCAGGAGGCTGAGATCTGAGGACTGTGGTTCGAAGCCAGCCTAGACAGAAAAGTCCCACGAGATGCTTACCATCCATGAGCCACCAAACAGCCGGAAGTGGAGCTGTGGCTCAAGTGGCAGAGTGGCAACCTTGAGCAAAAAGCCAAGAGAGAGTGTGAACCCCTGAGTTCAAGTCCTGGCATGCACACACACACACACACACACGCACGCACGCACGCACACACACACACACACACACACGTTGGGGGCAGAGGATCTCCCAGGCATAAGAAGTATTCTCAAGGTCTGGAGAGGAACGCGGAGCGCAGGAGAAGGCCCCTCGGTGGGGTTTTCTGGCCCGGCACACACCAGCAGCAGCCTTGGCATTGGCGGGCCTCGGAGAAGACACGTCTGGGGGCAAAGACTGCACAGCTGTGGTCAGGAAGGAACTGCCTGGCGATCTGGCCCTCCGGGCCTCCAGGCTCGGTTCCCAGGGGGTCTGAGCTCAGGCTGGGAGGTCAAAGAGCACTGTGCCTGCAGCAAGAGCCGCCCTCAGACAGCCCTCGAATGTGCCCACTGCCTCCAAGATGGCTGCCACCGCACCTGCCACCTGCAAGGCCATTGGATCCTTAAGAAACTGCTCCATGCTCCAGACACTGATGAAAATGAACTAAGCAACTCAAGGGCAACAATGGGAGGAGGAGAATGAGAGTGAGCAGCTGACACTGAGCCAAAGCAAAGAAATGTAAATATCACCACCTGACGTGGAAGGGATAGCTGTATTGTCAAAGCTCATAGAATTCTCAAACTTTGCCGGGCGCCAGTGGCTCCCGCCTGTCATCCTAGCTACTCAGGAGGCTGAGATCTGAGGACTGAAGTTCAAAGCCAGCCCAGGCAGGAAAGTCCATGAGACTCTTATCTCCAATAAACCACCAGAAAACTGGAAGTGGCGCTGTGGCTCAAGTGGTAGAGCGCTGGCCTTGAGCTGAAGAGCTGAGGGACAGCGCCCAGGCCCAGAGTTCAAACCCCACGACCGACAAAAAAAAAAAAAAAGAATTCACAAGCTTTATAGACCACCATAATGACAATTTGTCTCGTGAAGGCTAAAAAGTGTTTGTGACTTTAACTATCACTATTCCACAATACGTGAAATGTGTGAAATCTTTGTGATCACCTAATCTCAATAAAAAATTATGTTAAAAAGAAAGAGAGAAAGAAGAAAGAAAGAAAGAAAACACTCTGCTATAGCAGACCACTGATGAGACTGCCCAAACAGAAAAAGAGTTCTTCCTGAAGCCGGGTGCTGGTGGCTCACGCCTGTAATCCTAGCTACTCAGGAGGCTGAGACCTGAGGATTTCAGTTCAAAGCCAGCCCGGGCAGGAAAGTCCATGACACTGTTATCTCCAATAAAGCATTCGAAAACCGGAAGTGGCGCTGTGGCTCAAGGCTGCTCGCCTTGAGCTGAAGAGTGCAGGGACAGCGCCCAGACCTGGAGTTCAAGCCCCACGACTGACCAAAAAAAGAAAAAATTCTTCCTGGAAGGTTTTTATACACACACACACACACACACACACATGTGCATACAAAATGGAACAGTCACCTAG